CTGAAAATGAAGATGTCAATGTGCTTGAAATGCAAATATATGACAACTTATAGTTTTTTTTTAATGCAAACTTAGAGTTTCATGCCTAAAATCTATTAACTATATTCCGATAATTATAATTTTCTTTCTATAAAAACTATCATTATATATGCATCTTATACTCAAAGATTACTTTTAAAGTACAAAAAGATTGTTTATCAGGGTGGATTTTCTTTTTCAAATGATTTAACTGTGGACTGAAAAAGGAATAAATATATCCAAAACCTCTTGTTGTATTATTTTAGACTATTTATTTGATACAAATAAGAAACTAGAAGTTCCTGCTTTATCAACACTAAAACTGAACATATGGTGATTACACATGTCATCGAAGACAATATTGGGCTGGTTGGACTATTGAACAGTCTTGATAAAAGTTCAAATAAAGTATCAATGAACATTGTGATTAATATAAGTCTGTTAAGTCGATTGCAAATTGTCTTTAAGCTGAAAAGATACAATAATTTTTTTGATGTAGACAAACTAATTAAAAAAAAGATATTGATAATTAGATAGAGTAAATAAAGAAATATTTTGGGGTGCTTATTCAGAAATATCATGCTCAAAAGATGGTAAAATTTCCTCATTTGATAATATATAAGACCAACGGACCAAGAATTTTTCCCCAATGTCCTGTATTATTTTAGTGAGCATAGAAAAATTGAATGATGTTCATGGGTGATTTTCATGCCTTCCAAACGTTGTATCTCTTCAGATTTTTCATAACCTTGTCAAGTAAAAAATTATGAATCTACACTTAAGCAAAAATTTAGCAGGGATGTGTCAAGAATTGCTCTGTAAATGCTTTGCAAGTAGAGGAGGAGTAAGGGAAGCTGAAATCGTATCCCACATGATGGACTGTACAAAGGAGTCTAAGAAAGCAATGCTAGTGATGCACACTTCCCTTGCCCTTTCTTCATAAGAGGCAGAGAAATTCACTTGGATGTATTGAACTCTTGTGTGTCCAAGACATTCCGATGGCCGAACAAACAATATAAGCTTCATCCGGTAGGAGAAAACCGGACCGGAAACATGGAACAATTCTGACTCTGACGCAGAGTCAAGCCGGGCCAAGTGCACAAGAAGGGCGGGAAGGGAAGGGATTGAAGGGAATTGCAGGGACAGGACGTTGAAAGAGTCAGAAGTCTGCAGTAAATGGCTCCCATGTTTGTGATATATTAGAAGGCTTGGAGCACGAGGACGTTCATGGCTCCACATTCCAGCCAGTCCTAAAACAAAGTTAGAACTGAGCAGCGATTCAAGAGGAACCGGAGGAAGAGATAAGCCTGGGAGAAGTGGACTCGCGTCGCCCGCCCTCCCGCCAGCGCCCTCGCGCGCTCCCGTTGGGCCGCCGGGCCAACCCGGCTACAGGGCCGTGATTCAACACAAGGTCTGTTAATTGACTTTGTTCGAGAAGTTACGGCGCGAAATGTGACCTCCAATTTCCGCAAGCAGCAAGAAGAAGAAAGTCTGGACGTTGAGTGAGGGCGCCAGATATGCCGGACGAGAGGGAAGCCGGCTAGCCGCGGATGTACGCCGGAGCGAGACGATGTACGCTTGGCCAGTAAAGAGGGCAGTAGAATTCGCAGGAGTGAAGGTCCGAGAGAAGAGCACTAGCAAATCATTACACTACTGGCCTGAGGAGAAGGATGATGAGCTGGTTCGAAGCGTGCCGGCAAAGGCGCCGATGTCAGGCAGTCAGGCAGTCCCAATTTCCATTCCTTTTAGGTACTGTGTGTTGTATGTAGACCATCTACCTCACCAAACCCCGGTCGATCTCATCGCTCTCTCGCTCTCTCGCAAGAGACGGACATGGCAAGAGCGAGCGAGAGTTTACCGCTGGCGTTTCATTGGGCAAAGGCATGTCCTGCGCTGTTATTTGCTGCCACCACTGGCCTCGACTGGCGTCCTGTGATCTACAGTAAAGAACTCGAGGCCAGAAGGAAAGCTCGCACGAAAAGCTTTACCCTTTCCTCTCGTTCCTCCCGTTTCGTTTCCTCCCCGAACCGTCCTCTCCGATACTCACCTGTGCTGCCGTTTCTTTCGCCCGCCCCGCTCGCTCACACTCGCACTCGCACGTACGAGAGCCATCGCTGCACATTTGGGAGAGTGAAGGAAAGTGAGGTCGGCCCGAGTCTGAAGAGCCTCTGGGGCCGCGGCCAGGCGTCTTTTTCCTGCCCGGAGAATACACCCCCGGCCCGTCATCCGAAACCAAACGCCCAGCCCAGCCAAGCCTCCATTTCAGCGATCTGACGGACGTTGGGCCTGCTCTCGCTCTCGAAGGGTGGGTGGAGTTTGTCGCTCTCGGACCCTCTCCTCGGATCGTCGTCAATGGCCCGCACAGGGAGAGAGAGGGAGGAGGCAGTGGGGCCGCCCTCGTCCTTCCTTTCCTCTGAATGTGCCCCGAAAGAGGTCGCTGACTCCTCGCCCGCCTGACAAACATGGCCACTCGGCACGTGGCGGTCATCGTTGATGGAGCCGACCTCCCCTGGGCCCAGGCCTTCCAAAAGCACGTGAGGGGCGAGCAGATCCACGGCCCGCAAGACTTCTGTCGAAGCCTCGCGGGTCCGTGGCGCCGTCGATGATCTGCATCGTCGCACTCCCGATTCTTCCAAGAACGAACGACCCCAGGCACGCAGAGCTGCTACTGCTGTAGCTCTACAATGCATCGTATGCTACAAGCACCAATGAGAGAAAGAACTGTATCGGATTTCTTTCTCCCAGGCCTCCTCTCTAACTTGGATAGCGCGGAGGAATCCGACCATCAGAAAGTTCGCTGGGATTTCGAGAAGATGCACGCCAGTGGGTGCAGTGACTTGTGTATATTGCGTTCGACATTACTCGTACTCTACAACATGTGCGAACGACGGATAGAAATACGAGAGCCTCCGACCGATGTAAATAATATAAACAATACGAATAAGATAAGATATTCAGCGAATTTGAGCGTTCGGGCGGAGAGGAGACGACTGGAGAGAGACTTGAACCTGTAGTTCGACGACCAAAGGCAACAATAATGATAATATAGAGCATGGGAATAATGGCTCGGGTTGATGGAAATCATCGATGGGATGGTATGGGGTGGGATGAGGTGAAGGAGGGATGCGTTGGGATGGGATGGGAAGGCAAGGGATCATCGGATTCCTGGGCCGTTTTTGCGAGCTTGACTTTGTCGGAGGAGGACCGAATGTCAACCAGCTTGACCAGGCCAGGCCACAACACGCCACCGCACCGGAACACGGGAACCATGGTTAACGGTCCTCCATCTTGTCTGGGCCTGGACTGCAGACGGACGACTGTAGAGGGAGAGGGAGAAGAGACGAGACGAGGTGAATGGGGCCGAGGGACCGGATTGGAATGTGACGCGAGCAAGGCAAATCGAACTGCATAACATCTTAATTAAGTGTTGACTCACGTAAAAGTAGAGATTTCTCGTGTTGGGGGAGAAGAAAGATCCGGTGGCGGGGCCAGCCGCGGCGATCGGGGTCGGTCGGATTGCGAGCAGAGGGAGGGAGGGAGGGCAAGGAACGAAGGACGGGAGCGAGGGGAAAAACGCAAAAGAACCGCACGACCCACCGTTGGCTTGGCGTGGAGAATTCGCTTACGAGGAACCGGACGGGAGCGGCATTGACCCACCGAATTCCTTCCTAATGACACCATAATTTCCCATCCCATGGGATGATCGGGCCCATCCCATTGAGGATGATGATGATGACACTCCTCCTCCTCCTCCGCCGCCCGCCTGCCTGCATTATCATCCGTCGTCGTCCTTCCTCCTTCGCCCCGTCAACTCGTTATTTCCTCCACATCAGTTTCGTCCGCTCTGGCGCTGCTCTGCTGCTGCTGGCTCATCCAGGACCGTATCGTTTCTCGTCCCATGTCAGCTTTGTCGTCATTGGGCACGACGGCTAATTCGACTGCACCGTAGCAGGTGGAACGTGGTAAATCTGGCCTCATGTTTGCGTGGTCAACGGCCAGCACCCCGACGCCGTCGCTCTTTTCACTTTTGTCTATTAAAGGATTTGGGTGTGGAGCGTTAAAAGCACGAAATGTGATGGATGGATGGATGGATGGAAGGACTCATCCTTCTTGCCGCCGTAAATACACATGTCGTGATGGATGGATGGATCCCTGGCTGCCTCGCTGGCTGGCTAGCTCTCTCGCAAGCTACTGGCGTACTGTAGGCTCGAAACATGCGATGGAGGTCAAGGAGCAAGGGACGCCATGGGACGGGACAAGAACAAGGAACAAGGAGCAGATTTGCAAGACACAGAAAGTCTTCCTAGAGGGTAAGGAGTGAGGAACCCCGCAGGACTGGCGCTAAGGGCGAGGGGAGGGCAGGAGAGTGGAGTGGAGAGGAGTTGGAGTGGAGTGCGAGAGGAGTATTGGACGAGACCCGGGGACTGAGCGCAGCGTAGCCCTGCAGGTTGTTGCTGTTGTCTCCGGCAGCCTGAGTTTTGTCTTTGTCTCTGCGTACAACACCGCGCGCTTCATTTCTTCTTCTGTTGTGACATCTGCTCTCGGTCACCAGCCTACTACTACTACTATCACTACTACAGACTACTACGACTACTCCTCACTCGCCTCGGCCGCGGCCTCGCCTGTTCCGAGAATATTTTCCTTCCCCGTGTCTGCAAGCTCCCATCGGCCCCATCTCTCTTCTCTCTCTCTCTCTCTCTCTCTCTCTCTCCCCTCCCTCGCCCTCTGTCTCTTCTCGCTCGCTTCCTCCCTCCCTCCCTCCCTCCCTCCCCGTGTCTGCTTGTCTGGGCTGCCGCTGTTCATTCGTCTGATGGGCGTGGGCGATACATCCTTCGCACCTGCCTTCTTAATCACTCTCTACTGCTCAGCCTGCTCAGTTCCGTACGAGGTCTTTTTCTGCCTCCCCTCTGAGCCTCCATGCTGTGCTCTGCTGCCGCTGCTCTAGACGACGCTCGTCTGCTTCCGTCCGTGGAGCTCTAGAGTCTAGCGAGCCGAGGACATATTTTTGCTTGTTGGCTTTTGGATGTTCTTCGTTGCCCTTCTTCATGCTTCCCAGCTTCTTTCTCTTCCTCTTTCATGCCATCCATTTATTTCCCGTCTGAAGCACTTGCCCCTGCAGAGCACCGTCTAGCCTCGTCTCGTATTCGAGTGAGTTTGCGCAGGCAGGCTCGGTCTAGCAGGGAGGACTAGGGATCTTAGTTCAAAAGCATGCGGGGAGGAGACAGGAGCAGCCGTAGCAGCAGCAGCAGCAGCAGGGCGGTCCGGTCTGTTGGAGGGGTCTCTCGGGGAAGCGTTGGATCATATTAGATGTCCAGGGCTCGGCCTTTGGCAAGCTGCCTCTTCAATCTGGGATACAGGATCTTCGGGCTTCGGTCGTTGTCGCTCGCTTCGCAGACTGTCAATGCCGTGTGAGACCTAAGTATTCCGCCCTGCTTGCTGAGAGCCTTGCCTTCGTTCGCAGGTTTGCTTCCACAGACAGAGAGAGGTAGCAATCTCTTTTAGGGCAGACATTTGTTGGGCTCTCAGGGAAGAGGCCTTGTAGCAGTGAGATTGCTGCAAATAGGACCTCGGATCAGTTGGGGATCATTTGGGTGCGGAAGTGAAGCAAGCTGGCTTCTCAAAAGCCGCCGGCTATGAGAAAAGGAGGCACATCGTCTGCACCCACAACGCCGAAAGGAGGCAATGGACGAGGAGGAAATGCTCAACCCACTCAGCTTGCAGAGGAGCATCACATAGTCGCAACCACCTTCGTGCAGGCGGACGTCAATAATTTCCGTGAACTTGTCCAGAAGCTGACAGGAGGGCCCCCTTCCCCTCTTCCAACAACGCCTACCTCCGAGCTCAGCAATGGCAAAGAAGCAACGTCAACACCGTCTCGACGTGAACCTATTCCCGGGCGACCCGAACCCGAAAGAATTATGAGTGTGAAGCCCGTCGGAGGCCCAGGTCCCCAGAGAACTTCCACAGCGAAATTGTTCGAGAGAAGGCAGAATGCCAAGAAGCTCGAGGTGAAGCAACTTATGGGGCCCCACATTCTCAAGCGCACCATTTCCCCGGCCCTGAGTCCCGTGTCTCCTCTGACCAACGATGTGTTCTCGGAGCAGAGCAGCGGTGCCACGAGCCCTCTGGGCTACATGGGCTACTCGCCGGTCCCCCGACCATCGTTCGACCTGGAACAGCCTCCGACGGCCACCAGTCCCAGTTTTGACTTGAACAGCGGCATCATCCAGTTGGAGCTGGAGAGACCTCGAAATAGCGAGCCACGGCTTCTTCCTCTTTTCCCTCTTCACTCGCCACGGTCTCTGAGTTCTTAGTCCACGATCATGTTAGCTAGCTGAGTAAGCTGTTTCGTTGAGTTTCATCGAGTTTCGAGGCATCCATCCCCTGGGCCGGGCTTGTGAGCAGGATGCAGAATTTTTTCGCAATTGTACCGAGCAGCTTCCTGAACTCGCGCTCCAGTGTGGGCTAGGCTGGACGAGGCTTTGCAATCAATGTCAGTCCACGGCTCGAAGTTGTGGACGATGAGACATGTCTCAGGCAATACTGGCCCAAGTAGAAACGGAAGCTTCGAGCTTAACACCTGCCAGCGGGGGATTCACGATGTGATATCAGGGTTCAATGAGCAGCCACACACGAACGGATGGGCACTTGTTTCCGCTTCGCTCTGTTCTCTTCGTACCCAAAGAAAGATTGCTGCTCATTTTTATCTCGATTGGACGCGGCCAGATCCTCTTTGCCAGACAATTTAGCCCTCCCTGTCCCCTTTTCTTTGCGTTGCTTCACTCTATGGAACACGAGTGCTAATGCAACTACTCGTCCAGGATATGAGGTCATCTGTTGTAGCTGTATGTGTAGTATAGTGGGTCAAAAGGCCTTGGAACATGATCATTTGGATCAGCGCACAGATGGTTGACTAATAACATAATGCTTTGATTCGGCATTGCTTCTTGTGTACATCCATGTCATGTCGCTCATGCTACTCGCATGTTTGGGTTAAAATTTCCTGTCTTGAATCATTGGTATCCAACTGCCCCCTAGTCTATCGTACTTGTATCCTCCTACCTGGACAATCCAAGTGCAATGTCCATGGAAAGAAAATGCTTCAAGGAAATGAGATTTTGGTGCATGTTGCAGATGTTCAAGAGGGGAGGCCCTTCTTTCCGGGAATGCCATGTCTTAACATTTGCCACTGTCGATCTTTGGATATATCAAATCGGCCCCCGGCTGCTTTGAATGAGGGAGAGCTTTCTTTTGATGGGACCTTGATCATTTGTGTTATTGGAAGTGCAAATGGTGGATAGTAGGCAAGGAGCGAGGGAGGGAGGAAACCTCGGAAAGTTCAGCGTGTCTTTCTGAAAGCTCAGGCTCCCATAGGGCAAGTGGTTTCATCAAGTCGGGTCTCGCCGCTGAGAGACCGACCCGTCCCGTTTCGTCTCCGAACCGGTCGTACGTAAAGCTAATGGCGGAGGGTCCTATTGCGCCGGAGGAGGCATTCCCGTGTGAATGTGTTGCGCAACATGGCCTTGTGCACTTGCGTCAAAGTCTCTTTGGCACGTCAGAGGAAAGTGCAATCCATTGACTTATTCCGGACACGACTTGGGTCAATAGGATATTTTCTATATGGGGCGGGCAGGCTGATTCTTCCGTGATGAACACTCTAGAGCCGAACGCCATAGTCACCAGAGTTGGCCTGGGAGTCACCGCCCTTCTTCGTTGCTTGCCTGCTGCGAGTCGTAACTTGGATACCATCTGGTTGTTTTATGCCTCGATGCTCTGGCTATGGTATGGATAAGAGGTGTTTGACATTTAATCGCTGTTTTCTCGGCATAGGATGCTGTGACCGTTGAAAAATTGCATGCCAATTCGCACGAAGACGGATGCAGATCCCCCGGCAGCAACTGCGCTGGAAGCAGCAGTGTGCGGGGGAGACCTCGCTGCTCGTGTAAGCAAATCGATCGCCAACCTGTCTCTGACCTGATTCAGCCCCAGCAGTAATCCGGGTAACTGATCACGGCAAAAGATCCGCATGACGACGTATGGGTCGCGCTGAAACTTTGTCTTCACGCTGAATTCGGCAGGTCTCGCGAGGGTTTAGTGTGACCGTTTCTCCTTTCGGCCATGTGTGTCGTGTAACCACTGCCTCAACAGGACAAACGATCTGCCTATGAAGAGACCGTGGTCACCGTGGTGCGAGCAACCTTGCCGGTCCATGCATCTGCGGACCTTTTCGAAGCCGTTAATGCAATCCAGGGTCCTGCCCTACAACCAATTAATATGTCGACTCTTGTTTGCGTACCGGAAGAAACGAACAGTTCGCCCACAAACAAATGGCGTATCAATAGCGTCTTTGCAGATCGCTTATTGGCTGCCTACCTCGCAACGAGTAGCAGGCCCATCACTCTTTCTAAAAACTCCCAAATTGTAAGACTCCGCATGATGACTTCCCAAGACATTGACTAAGCTCTGCGAAGACTTAATCCACAGCAGCTCTAGCACCCGATTGATAATTGCTATTGAGAAGTTGAGGCCTTGACGTTCGAAAAGACAATTCCAGCTGTGGCTATCGTCACGATATTTGCGGTAGTAGTATCAATAGATGCAGTAGATGCTGTTAATTGGACGAGATCGAAGCAATCTCGGATTCTTCCACATGACACTGCGTGCATAATGCTCTCTCAGAGCAGAGAATGTTCTAGCCCCAATCCGTTAACCCAACGGCAGTATTTCGAAGACTTGTGCAGCTCAATGTAGAGGGAGGACCTGTTTACCGATCAGTGTATCATCATCATACCTGCAACCTGTCACTAAAAGTACATGCTTTAGTTTCGTCTGACCTTCTAAACAGACTGCCCATTTCGTTTAGAGATGTTGTACTGGACGCCCCATGTCAACCTTCTTGTTCGAAGGACCGATGAAAATGTAACAATCTGTGGATTAGTTTGCTTCCAGATGGATCATCAACGGGCCCGAGCTCTGTCTCTTCGTCATAGGGAGGAATGGAAGTCTCACTTTTGCGAGCAACTAGGCTTTAGCTGATTGGGGCTATAGTGAGAGTCTGACGACTCTATGTTATATGATGGTCTTGAGTCTCCTCTTAGCTGCTGGCTGGGATGGAAGACGTCTCCAGTTTTTTTATTACTGCTCTTGAACAGAATCGATAGAGGAGCGAAGGAGGAGGGGCATGAAGTGAGGCTTACATAGGAGGATCTGAACACCGAGTTTGGGACCATCTGGCAACCTTATCCCAGCAGGCCAGCCGCACGAACTCTGCAAGCACACTCGAGCCACTTTGACATCAAAGCTTAGAGCGACTAAATCGTAAGCTCGACGATGATTGAATGAGCGAAGAGCAAAACGAAGTCACCTCAAAGGACGAAGGCTGTGACATGGACCTCACACACAAAAGGGACAACGTTATGTAAGAAAGAACCGAGGATTTCTCTAAGGACCTCCAAAACGTGCACCGAGAAGTTAAAAATAAGGAAAGATTCCGTCCCTCTGAAGCTGGAATTCTGAGTTGAGCCTATTTGATAAATACCTGCCAAGAAATACGCACCACCAGAACGAAGTTAAATCAGCGGTAGGTCGGAGTTTATTTGATATGAGCTTTAGCATTTTGGAGGCTGATGCGTCCAAGTGCTTCTACAATGCAGTCAATCTCCTGACGTAGAGAACAGCTAACAACAATTTGTACTTCGTAGTTTTCAAAAGCTTACAACGGATTTGAAACCAAGGATAATTTTTTTTGCATTTTTAGCATTATCAACCGCTAGGCTGATAATGCTTAAAATTGTTCTTGACAGAGGAGTGAGAAGATGCCCATCACCCACACTTATGCAGCTCTCTCAGAGGGTTCACTAATTTCTGAAAATGACACTCGTGAGGAAAACTGCTCCAAATGATGCAATTATCTCATCATCGTTGTGTTGGATCGGTAGATTGTGTTCATGGTGCCCCTGAGCCGGCAAGCTCAAGCAGATTGAACTCAGTTTTTCAAATGTGTTACAACTGGTTCCGGGGGCCGGAACCAGTTGCAGTGAGCTCACAACATTAAAAGTGATGATGCCGAGTATTGCACCCACAACATTAAAAGTGTATTTTGTCACCAAGATGACGTCCGTATACGCACAAGGTGCTGGTGACAAGATAACAGAGCTTTGATGGAGAGTTGAGAGCTGTTCCACAATGCACTCTTACGGCTGCTGAAGAAGACCGTTTGTTTGTGACAAGTCTTGTCGGATTCGCCACCCATTCCGTTCTCAGTCATCCTAGCGAGGTCCATACCTTACTTCAGTTCCTCAGTCCATCTGGCAAGCGAGCGCACACACAAAGTGTTGCGATGGTACAAATCCAGCAGGAGGCTTTCTTTTCTGATTCCCAGACAAAACAAATCGAAGTTTTGCTGTCAACACTTTTGTTTGAGGGAAAGCTCGAGTCTGACTTTTGTACATGGGTACTGAATGAAACGCTGAGTTGGGATTACTGGGCATTTGGAACTACACACAAAAGACAGAAAGTCACTTTGGACGTTAGTCGAAGTACATCATCGCCACAGCGCAGACCCAAAAACTGCTTGCTGACCTTTCTTTGGACTGCTCCGACAAACCATCCCTCGCTATGCTCCACAACCAGTCAGTCCAGGGTCCCGAGACTTGGCCATTTGTCCCAGCAGAGGCTTCTCCGGGGCTGCATCTTTACCCTTTATGCCGTCCTCGAAAATCGGCTGGGGTGGAGATGGAGCTGGAGGTGCCGCGACGGTTCTGTTGCCTACTGGCATATCAGTTAACAGGACGAGGACGAGGCGAGAGTTAATGGTACCTACACAAGGCAAGCTCGCTGCAAGAGATATAATACATTCGGATGCGAGGAGCAATGTCGCATGAGGGAGGGGGTAGGGAGGAAGGGAGTGCATGAGTTTCTTTTCGGAAAGTGTGCTGAAGTGAGTTCCACGACATAGTTCATGTGTACTATTGTGTTTATCATCAATTTGTTTTCTTGCCGCGAACAGAATCACAGCTGACCCACTCCAGAGAATAAATAAGGTCAACTCTTTAAGATGGAATGATTGAGCAACTTTGAATGTGATGGGGGATTGCCATCGGCCCAGTAGGAGCACTGCCAGATATTATTCTGAAGTCCAGCTCACCTTGCTTCTGTCCGACAATCCCATTCGCGTTTGCCCTCTTGATATAGACGAAGGGTTTTGCAGGGTGTGCCCGCCAAATGCTCACATGTTAGCCCTCGTAATTGAGGTGGTTGTCGTTGGTGTTATTCCCTGTACACCCTCACCGCTTTGACATTTTGTTTGCTCCATCTGAAGTACATGCAGGAAATCCGCGGGTTCACACTTGAACGATGCGAGCGGAAATGAATGAAGGTCGAACCTCAGGCATTGGAGAACGTCGGGGGTCCAGAAAGAACGGGAACTAGCAATGAACCCGCTATAATATCTTGCGTCCCTCTTGTACGGTCCTGTTCGGCCGATGAACTCCCAATAAGCCCATACATACATCACGAACGTCCTCAACATGGTAGCGGCCGTTCCTGTATAGCAGCACTACGAGTTGCAAAGAGAGCACGGAATGGAAGATATGGATTTTTATCGTGAGCTGTAGTGAAGGAAATGCGTGCCCCTTAGCATCAAACTTAAAGCTCACAGCACGCCAGAAGACTTATGCTGTATTGCTTGTTATTTCAATAACATGAGAATAATAGAATGGAAGCTTAAGAGTTCTGTAGACAGCTAGTGGAGACGTCACTTCTGACTAATTTGAGCATATCTACCGTTGTGTTCTTCTAATCAGTGATTTTTGCTTAGGTGAATATTGTTATAGACCAAGGTCAGAGTGGTATTTCTTCGGGTATGTAGTGGTGCTCTTGTAGTGGACGGAACGTAGACCCTATTGCACATAATGCATATAGATTTCTTTTTCGGGGGACACTTCTGGAGCATTCTATGAAATTTTGATTTTTGATGGATTCAATGTGTGGTACTCACTTTTTTTTATAAAAAAAAGCTTTCTCACCTTTCGATATGCCGTGCCAGTACTTCCTTTCTTTCTGATTTAGGTTGGAGGGAAAGATTTATCTCATATATTACATTACCTTAGGGTCAAGCGCTTGGCGATCCAATCGAAGCTTGCAATGTGCATGTTTATTCTCATCGGCTACCCAAAAAAATAAAAATAAAATATTCTCATTATGATTGAACTTTGTGGCAACCGTGTGTCATTCCCGAGCAAACCTGACTTTAAATTATCGCTGACTTTACTATTGATCTTCCTATATAAGCCCATGCTGATGCTTCATTCAGTCTTTATCTCCGAATTACGTTTCTGGTATCCTGAAACGTGTAAAAGTAAGATCAAGGTCATGCATCAACGGAGCTTCAAGAATTTTTGGGGGAATTCTCGATAACTGGGGTTAGGAAATGTGCAAACCCTCGGTAAGTAAGAGCAACTAAGAGGGCCGCTCCCCAACTATTACACAACTAGAGAGTCGACTACAGTTGAAATCATACTTGTTCAAGCAGAATGTTCTTAATCACGGACCCGAGCTGATAGTAAATTTGTAGGCGGGATGCTTTGGAGAACATGTACGGAAGGATCACTCTACCCGTAGCGACATGAAGCCCAAAGAACTGGAAAACTGCCCATCTTCCAAATCTGACTCCATCATTCTCGCGTTCAACGCCGTTGTTCCAAATGGTGTTGCGTCCTTTCGGCTTTAACATGATCTGGAAAGCGAGGGACCACTTTAACGAAAGCCCTGTTAGATCCGGTAGGGTGGGACGCACTGGGCTGGCTGTTGTCGCTGGACGGAGTTGCATCGGTCCTCGGCCGTTAAATATTCTTTCTTCCGCTGCTCTATCGTCGGCAACTCTGACAAGCATTTTATTATAGACGGAGCCCGGCAGCTGGGGGGAGATGTGACATGTGAAAGGGCGATCATTGAAGTAAACGACCTTCAAGTCACAGATAAACTTGTTGAACCTAGATCTTCTGCAAGATCGGCCTGTCTATTTTCAACTGCCAAGAAAGTCTCGTTGTTGACGACAATGTCTTCTTGGGAGAAGACAAGGCAAATTACAATCGTCAAGCCAAGAAATGAATTTCTATTGTCCCAGATCGGTAATACTTGGAAGTCCGAGGCTGAAAGAGCGCTCTGTTTATGGTACGGTAAACTGAGATTCCGTTATCTAGGTTTGTTGCAGAGGATCGGCATGAATCACCGACATTGGACATGACTAATCATGAGCCCGGAGTCCGATAATAGTCATTGACCCGAAAGTGCTCAGAGACTTGCGTGGAGAACTATATTTGGAGTCAAATAACATAGACCTTTTGATGCGCGCATATAGTGAAAAGAATAGGTCAACAATGTCCGGGATTGACTATCGTGGTTATCCAACTCATCCCTAGCTACAAGGCCGAGCCCCATAGCGCTTTTCTCCCTTCGAAGTGCACATCGCCCGGTCTTGCGGTCCTACATTTGATAACTATCTGTCGAGTGTCAGGGGCACCGGACTCTCTTGTCAGGGTACTTGGCAAGATCATGTGTATACAGATACCAAAAGCCTGCGGGCGTCAAGAAAAGGAGGAATCGACATCCCAAAAGCCGGTTGCAGGCAAGTCGGGGCAAACACCAATATCTGCGAAAGCGCTCCTCACTAATCACTTCGGCCAAGTTAGCATGTGCTTTCTGCCTAAAGGCTGCAAGGCAATAAGATCCTAAAAGAAACTCTGAGGCCAAACCACCGCACCTCACCTGCTGCGAGCACACCACCACAATCCTGTGCACCGCCCACCTCGACCATGGAATGCAGCTGCTGCTCTGCTGCAGCCGGTGCTAGACGATGGAGACGGCCGAAGCAAATGCAGGAGAGGTCGAGGTTGAGAGAGAGCGCGAGCTCGCAAGATCTTGCCGCGCGAATATTCTCGATCCAACCGCAGCAGCGGGAGGTACAAACTATCGACCGCGTCGAGACTCCAGCGGCTGTGAACAAGCTCCAAGAGCTCCAAGGGCGGGTCACTGCCGGTCAATTTAGCTTTTATATCCAAGATGCCATCCGTGGTGGTGTTCCCCGAAATAAATAAACAATTAAATTAATCAACTAAAAAAAACCGTTTGTTTATCTACGTCAATGTGACATCTGTGGAGAACGTTCGCTGGCTGCTAATGTTCTGAAATGGGTACGAAATGAATTGATCCCGGGTCTTGTCTTCGAGGAAAGAACCTCGTCGATCGGAACGAGCTCCGTGGAACCGTGTCATCCATCTCACCCATCTCACCCATCGTTCAGGTGTCGAAGACTGGATTGGAGAGGAATGCGAAGTTGTGAGTCCGCAAGCGCTGACTCGTCTAGACTGCATCCTTAGAATACATCAGCCTCGAGCGTGTACTTAATGCCGGTTTATCTGGAGGTCATACGCAAACTTGAACCGCAGTAAGCGGTACTGTCGTATGCGCCATCTCGATCTGGAGTTGAACTTGATGGATGAGAAGTTCCGTACTAGTTGAAACCTCGGGAGCATCTGGATTTGGAAATCTACCTCAGATCAAATTCCGAAGAAAACTGAGATCCTGCGCACATACGTTTTCCAAAACGACGGAAACACCGGCCAACGCCGGTACAAACTACGGACGTAGAAACTGGGTAGGCCCCGCCAACAAATACGGTTCGGGCTTCGCAGTCGAATTCGCTCGCTCGCTCGCTTGCACAGCGGCAGCTGTCGCTGGCTCGCGAGAGCTGCCTCCGAGGCTCCGTCCATCCGATTCGCCCGCCCAGTGACACGCTGTCCTGTCCTTCGGCCTGCGTGTCGCTGTCCTGGCAGCCCCCCAGGGCATCGACCGGACTGGCAGGAAGCGGCGCCTCACTCGCTTTTGCGCTCTGTGTGTGCGCTCCAGGCCATGCTCATTTGTATGTCATGTGTGTATAATTTCTGACCCATGACCGATCTAGCAGCCAACCGAGTCCGAGCTTGGGCGGAGTCCCGCTGGACCGGACCGATGTTCATTGGTGTTGTAGGTAGGTCGGTTGTTGTCGCAATGTCGCAATGTCGCTGGTCTGAGCTGGTCTCTCGTCTGCTCCTTCCTTCTCTCGTATTCTCGTCTCGTGTGTTCAGTGGGGTATGTATGCATGCATGCATGCGAGCTGCTGGAGACCGGACTGCTTCAGTCATTGGACGGAAGGGGCAATATCTCGTAGGGAAACTAGATTGGCGACGGGCCATGAGTCACATCGATCAGCTCTCAGATTCTGCCCACCGTCTTGTGATGTCACATGATCATGACGATGCCGATCGACCAGTACAGATTGTAGGCCAACGTTGGCATGAAGTTGCCAACATAATTTTCAACAGACCGGATCGGGTCATGCTACGCGATGCAAATGACGATCATAGATTGGGAACATAAAAAGATGCCGAATCTCTTTACCCCTGATGAGGCTGCGTGATTTCCATGATTCTGAGTATTCTAAGTTCGTCTGTTCATTCTGACAGCTTTAATTGGCCCTTTCCCGATGGTGTTCACGTCAGAGCTCATGAATGTAGGGAGATCCTGAAAAACATTTCTTTTTTCTCATTTATTTTCGAGAAGTTTGTACAGTCATAATCACTTAAGTGCCCATACACAAGTTCATTTCCCCAATACTGTAATTTCAAACCCCGCCAATCGGAGGCACCATCCTGCCTCGGAAATTGGACACATGCAGGCGAGTTTACAAGAAGACCTATGCTTTTCGCATGTCAAGAAGGAAAAGTGTTTTCTGTTCCTGGAAAGTGGAGACACCGAGTCACGCCATACTATAAGATCATTAGGGTTGTTGGAGTGACAGAATAATAAGCTGATTGGGCATAATGCAGACAGTTTCCCTGACCATTGCTAGTCAAATGGGTGGATTTCTCTATAGGAAATGAGATGAAAATATTTCCTCATTTACTCAGCCCATTGGTGAGCATACTCTGCATGATTCGTTCTTGATACAATAGTGCCAAGCTTGCAAGATGATCTCCTGGTCATATTGTCATTTCGAAGACTGCGGGATGTCATGAAGTGGACAGAGCTGAAGTTCTTGACTTATAACATCCAGAGTACTTCAGCTGATGCATATGGAGTGATCATCAGAAGATCAAACGGCAATCTGAGTACAACATCATCATAACTATTATATCTTGCCAATGATGCCTACTAATCCGCTAGAAGTAATGCTGAAACTCGAACACTGGAGGAGGAAAGTAGCATGTTGCCGTAGCCCAATCTTGCGAGAATGATGGAGCTTTGTGGGCGCATATTGAGGGAAAAAGCAGGCACTGTAATCCAGTTCGAAGGTTGAGGCAAACGACAATCAACGCGAAATAGAAGAATCGCAAAATTGCATATAGGTTTTGCTTACGGAAGATCTTCAGAACAATGACGAAGAGTTATAGCAAGGGTTGCCGTAAGGTCGAAAGTGATGAAGAAGATCTCATCCTTGTCTAAAGCTAATGATGGCGCAATTGTAGAAGAACCCTGAGAGATTCCTCCTACACCATGTGGGTCCCACTTACAAGAGGGCAGGCTTGAAGAACCTTTGAAATACAAATCGCGATTATACTAGGAGATAATACATTTCTTTTCTTCTCTTATTACATAGTAATGTTGAGAAAATGTGTACTTGTTTAGCCTCCAGCTGTTGTTGTTGCAATCACCAAGGATTCACCAACCCATAAAAGATACATTAGGTTGTGATGATTCTTTATGAACCCAT